CATTTATAAATGACCATGTATACCTATCATTGCTGTACATGCTGTAAATGTGTACATCTATCACTGTTACTACATGACTGCTAGCAATAATCATAATCACAGTCATGATAATATATCTGTATTTATGAATGGAATACTAAGGAAGAGTAATGCTATATAAATGATGAATTATGCACTTGCTAATACCCTATTACTACCTTAATAACGCTTCCCTCTGTGACCTTATTATAAAGCGCCACAAAAATATCAAATACAGTTGTTTTATGTTTCGGTTTTTTTTAAAGTGATGTCAGAACAGTAAAGTGAGTTTTCTTGGCTGTCTCAGTATTTAAGACTGATTGTTATTAATGCTAGCTTTCATCCTTCCTTTAACAGTTCCCATTTCCATTCATTTAAACATTAACTAAGTAGTTACTGACTGTCCGCTGACATTGAAACTTTAAATCTGTGCGCAAACTTTTACCGTGTTAGCTAATGAAGCTATCATTCAGGCTTACAAGGTCAGAACAGCGATGACAGTTTTGTTTTGGGTCGACTGGCGCTCTTCGCGAGACTACATTTTGCAATGTTTAGCTAAGTCCGTTTAAAGAATTAAAAAAAAACAAACAGCACTTACATTCCGCTGCGCACTGGCTCTAAACACATTAGAGATGATGGCTAGCATCTTTCCTGACCTAACCCACCGCAGAACCGTCCTAATGTCAGGATGTGTCCTTCCGGCTCGGGGCTTCTTCGCTGTCTTGAATATCGGCAGATAGAAAGCGCAACTGCCGACAGCGGGCTGTGTTCGAAGTAGAGGAGAGGTGTGGTTGGTAGTGAGTGTAGGAAATGCAACACTGATCAGTGGCTATTTAATAATATAATTTCTTCGACCCCCCTATATTTGACAAGGACGAAGACTTTAGATGTGCGGTGGTGATGGCACTATGAAGCCTTCTGAAGCACTGAAGCTTGTATTGAAAAAGGGTTCATTACCCAAAGCTTTTCAGCAAAGTCTTCTTTGGTGCCATCTTGTGGCCAAAAGTATGAAGAGCAGCTTGAATCTAAAATTCAAACTGCTGTAATATGATCTACAGATCTGAGTAAAAGATCTGTAGATCTTATATATAAAATATATAATATAAATATATATAT